TGAAAAGAGAAACTGACAGTTCCACAATAATAGTAGGAGACTTCAACACACCACTCTTGGTAAAGGACAGAACATCAAGAAAGAAACTCAACAAAGACATGGAAGATCTAAATGCTACAATCAACCCAATTGATCTCATAGACATATACAGAACAGTCCACCCTACAGCTGCAAAGTACACATTCTTTTCCAATGCACATGGTATGCTCTCCAGAATAGACCACATCCTAGGCCACAGAGCAATCCTCAACAAGATCCAAAACGATGAGATAATACAAAGTATCTTCTCTGGTCACAACACCATCAAGGTAGAAATTTAACAAAAAAACAGAAAGAGCAAGAAAAAAAACCCAGTTACATGGAAACTGAATACCACCCTGCTTACAAACCACTGCAAAATAGAAGAAATCAGAGATGGAATCAAAAAATTCCTAGAATCAAAAGAGCATGAACACACATCCTACCAAAACCTTTGGGACACAATTGTCAGAGGACAATTTATAGCAATAGATGCACACATCAAAAAAGAAGAAAGGGACAAAATCAAAACATTAACTATACAACTCAAACAAATAGAAAGAGGACAGCAAAAAAAGCCCACAGCCACCAGAAGAAAGGAAATAATAAAGATCAGAGAATCAAAAAAACAATAGAAAGAATCAACAAAACCAAAAGTTGGTTCTTTGAAAGAATCAACAAGATCGACAAACCACTGGTCAGAGTGACAAAAGAAAAACAGGAGAGGATGCAAATAACCCAAATAAATGAAATGGGCAACATTACAACAGACCCAACTGAAATAAAAAGGATTATAACAGAGTATTATGAAAAACTATACTCCAACAAATTTGAAACCCAAGACGAAATGGATAAATTTCCAGAAACACACTACCTACCCAAACTATCACAAAGTGATGTTGAAAATCTGAACAGACCCATAACAACAGAAGAGATTGAAAAAAAAAAAAAAAAAAAAGCCCTGGCCCAGATGGCTTCACTGGAGAATTCTACCAAACATTCAGAGAAGAGCTTATACCAGTACCACTCATACTATTTCAGAACATAGAAAAGGAAGCGACTCTTCTGAATTCATTCTATGAAGCCAGCATAATCCTGATACCAAAACCAGGCAAAGACACCACAAAAAAAAAAAATTACAAACTGTATATCTCATGAAAATAGATGCAAAAATTCTCATCAAAATTCTAGCCAATAGAATTCATATCATATCAAAAAAAATAATAATA